CCACATCCTAGCCAAGCCTTCTATTATTGTGGTTTCCTCGTTTCGGGCTCAAATTTTCAATTCATCGACTTTCCGAAAAACATAAATCGAGGTATTCAGATTTAGTTTATGTCGAAACTCGTATAATAATGCATATTAGTTGTTTTGAATGTGTTTCCATGTTGTTTTGTATTTTATTTGCGATTAAGCTAGTATGTTATTTTTATCCGGACTAAGATATTAGTGTTTTGTGATTAAAATGTATTTGTTATTTTTATCTAGTTTAGATTATTTATTTGCTTAAAGACTAGTGCCCTTTTAGCGTAGTAAAATGTAAAGCCTTTTAGCATAGAATCCCTGTAGTTTAAGTATTTTTTATACTGATAGATCAAACACAAACTCTGTCCAATTTATAAAAATTAATTATTTAATTAACAAAACAAACATACAAAATTATAAAAATATTAAAATTGACATACATAAGAATTCAGGATAGTTTGGTGCTACTAGGCCTCAAATATCGAGCCTGGAACCCATAGGTATATACTCTGTCCAATTAAATATGATAAAAATTAACTATTTAATTTACAAAACAAACATACAAAATTATAAAAATATTAAAATTGACACACATAAGAATTCAGGATAGTTTGGTGCTACTGGGCCTCAAATATCGAGCCTGGAACCCATAGGTATATACTCTGTCCGATTAAATATGATAAAAATTAATTATTTAATTTACAAAACAAACATACAAAATTATAAAAATATTAAAATTGACACACATAAGAATTCAGGATAGCTTGGTGCTACTGGACCTCAAATATCGAGCCTGGAACCCATAGGTATATACTCCGTCCAATTAAATATGATAAAAATTAACTATTTAATTTACAAAACAAACATACAAAAGTATAAAAATATTAAAATTGACACACATAAGAATTCAGGATAGCTTGGTGCTACTAGGCCTCAAATATCGAGCCTGGAACCCATAGGTATATACTCTGTCCAATTAAATATGATAAAATTAATTATTTAATTTACAAAATAAACATACAAAATTATGAAAATATTAAAATTGACACACATAAGAATTCAGGATAGTTTGGTGCTACTGGGTCTCAAATATCGAGCCTAGAATCCATAGGTATATAGTCTGTCCAATTAAATATGATAAAAATTAATTATTTAATTTACAAAACAAACATACAAAATTATAAAAATATTAAAATTGACACACATAAGAATTCAGGATAGCTTGGTGCTACTGTGCCTCAAATATCGAGTCTGGAACCCATAGGTCTATACTCTATCCAATTAAATATGATAAAAATTAATTATTTAATTTACAAAACAAACATACAAAATTATGAAAATATTAAAATTGACACACATAAGAATTCAGGATAGCTTGGTGCTATTGGGTCTCATATATCTGAGTGTGGAACCCATAGATATATACTCTGTCTAATTAAATATGATAAAAATTAATTATTTAATTTACAAAACAAATATACAAAATTATGAAAATATTAAAATTGACACACATAAGAATTCAGGATAGCTTGGTTCTATTGGGTCTCAAATATTGAGCCAAGAACCCATAGGTATATACTCTGTCCAATTAAATATTGTATAATTATAAAAAAATAATTCTTTAATTTACAGATCGAACATACAAAATTATGAAAATAATAAAATTGACACATACAAGAACTCAGGATAGCTTGGTGCTACTGGGCATCAAATATCGAGCATGGAACCCATAGATATATACTCTGTTCAATTAAATATTGTATAATTATAAAAAATAATTATTTAATTTACTGATCAAACATACAATTAATGTTGTTTAATTTACAGTAGACGACATGGACGTGCCGCCTATGCATCCTGGACCTATCTCCGATGAGCTATTAGTGTTACAGGGCGATCATAGGTCCGCCTACGTATGGGAGGGAGAGTTACTGGCCCAGACTCTCCGCGCCAGGAGAGTGGACGATATGTGGGATTTTATGAAGGACAGAGATCTCCATCCCCGTGTAGTCCAGTGCATGCGGGATACGGGCTTCTACACGATTTTGGAGATCGGGCGGCTGCAGCTCGACTGGTCTTTGATCACGGCCCTGATAGAGCGTTGGTGACCGGAGACGCACACTTTCCACCTGCCCATCACGCTGCAGGACGTGAAGGTTTTATATGGGATGCCTGTTGATGGACTGCCCGTTGCACTGCCTCAGGCCATGAGAGAGATGACGTGTGGGTAGTATTTGGATATGCTGCAACAGCTCACTAGTTTCAGGTAACAGGATGAGACTGCACACTCAAGTGCCAGCCGCATGAGTTTGACAGCTATTCGACAGCATTTGGAGATATTGCACCCCGACATCACCGTGGAGATAGATGATCTGCATATTCACCGGTATACGAGGTTGCTGCTGCTCCTTCTGTTTGGGGGGGTCTTGTTCCCGAACACTTCGGGGAACCTAGTCAGCTTGCGATTTCTTCATCATCTTTAGCTGCTAGATGATTTATCCCAGTACAGTTGGGGTGCTGCTGTTCTCGCCTACTTGTACATGCATCTATGCCGGGCGATCATGGGCACCCAGCATGACGTATGTGGATTTTTGCTGCTTCTACAGGTAACAACATATTCGAATACTCTATTCATTCCTTCCAATTCTATCTAATTAAAATTTATCTTAAACTTTACGTCAACTTTGTATGTTAGGTTTGGGCCTGGGAGCGGTTCTTGTAGTTGCAGCCACCTCTACCACCATTACCTCCGGATGTACCACCTCTGTTTCTCCCTCTAGCTAGGAGGTGGGTTCTCCGGCGTGGATATGTACGAGATTACGAGACTCGGCATAATCTCCCCCTTTGCAGGGATGTGTTGGATATGCTGGAGGGTGCACAGGTAAATATGTACCTAAACTTATTTGGTATAGCTTCACATGTGTTGCGCGTACTCACGTTTTATGTTGTTATTTGATAGTTCATCTGGACGCCATACAACGACGACTTGATAGGTGGCCTATCCGATTATTGCTCGGCCGACCGACTGATTTGGAGCACTTCCGTCCCGCTGATGTGCCTCGATATTGTGGAGCATCATGCCACAGAGCAGGTACTTCGCCAGTTTGGCCATCCGCAGTATATACCTGGAGGGCCTACATGGGAGGCCACACATTATCAGCGGGATGATCGTTCCAGGGCGGACGACGCATATGTAGCATGGCTAGAGGCGCAGGTCCATACTTGGGGCCAACGAGCTGACCTGATTCCGCCCCCCTCCCCCTTCACAGATCCAGACGGAGACTGTTCAGCTCTATATGCCCTGGTACCGCCGTGTTACCCGACTTTTTGTCGGGAATCCCATTCAATAAGCTGGCGGTCGGTACGTTCCATACGCCGGGCGGCACGAGGCCCTGGTATGTTTTCTGTTATTATTAATTATATGGNTAAATTTGTTTTTTCTTTTCTCATTTATTTTCCATAACTTTATTAATTTTCTTATTAAGGCTTCGTTCCCGCCCGTCACGGAGGCCCATTTGTGCGATGCTGACATGGCTGCGACGGATGATTATATTCAGGAGCCCGACGAGACCATGATAAGACAATTTAAATTGTTGTGACTTAATATATACTTTCCTATACTGAGCTGACTTATTCTTCTGTAGGTTTCTACTGAACCGACGACCCCTTCTACCGATCCTGCCAGCACCAGTGATGATCATGTTGCAGCGTATCCTACTATAAAGAGGCGCCGTGACGAGGATGATCCTGATAGCGTAGCCGGGCGGGATGGGATGCGCCTTAGGCCAGCGGCTGCATTGAAGCACACAGGCTGTGGGATACATTGATTTTTTTTAATGGTATTTTATGTAAATAATAACAACAATTTTTTATGTTTACATAATATGCGCATTATGTTTTTATTTCCCCGTTCCTTCTTTATTTTAATACTACAACACAAACACAAAACATATCAACTTAACATAATTTAAATTCAGTACAACTAATGAAAATACATGACACGGGAAACATAAAGATAAAGTAGTACA